CACCTCCTACACCATCGTGTTCCTTGTGCCGTTTCGAGTCCGCCGGTGTCATCCTAGGTCTCAGTCGACGGCGGCGCGTGAGGAGGTGGAGCAGTCAAAGATTCGGCCGAGTTGAAATCGAGCTCTCCGCCGTTCAAAAATTTGAACCGATCTTTGTAAGTATCTCGAAATCGCTCAAAATAATTTTAAAAAAATGTTTCGTAATTTTTAGACCCCCGGAGGAGGCCTCACGCGCCACACGCGCCGCCGCAGGGAGAGTGAGTGGCTGAAAATCGGTTTGACCTGTTTTGAACCGGTTTTGACCGGTTTGACCGATTTCGACCGATTCGAACCGGTCTGACCCGACCCGACCGACCCGACCCGACCCGATCGACCGACCCGACTGTTGTCCCGACCCGACCGTTGACCGTTGACTTCCTTTGACCAAAACTTAAAATTGCTTTGACCGACCATTAAACAACCATTAATCTTTTCTGAGTATATCTATTCTGATAGTTTTCGGCGTCCCGAATCCGTTTCCGAAGTCCGTTTCATCAAATTCGAACCATAAGGTCTCCAAATCGATGGTCAAAGTGGTTGACATTGACTTTGACCAAGAATTTAAATTTTCGAAAAGACATACTTTATGTTTTTCGACGTTCTGATTCCGATTCCGCAATCTGTTTGGCCAAATTCAAACCCGAAATCATCCAAATTGATAGTCAAACCATGAAAATGCTTATATACTTAAGAATTTTAGCTTTGAACAATTAAGTAAGATTTTAGGCTGATAAATTATTATTATTTGAAGGTATAAAAGACTTTCTGGATCGTTCGACAGCTCGACCCAACTCTTCTAGATCAGTTAAACCACGTTCGAAAACTGTAGCAGAGCGTGGTGAATCCAGCAATCAGTAAATCTACTATTTGAACCTATTATCGAGGTGTGTTCCCTAATTATTACTGAACTATTTTATTGGTTTTAATATGAGGTACATTGAGTTCTTTGGTTACTGTTTTATTGATGCACCAATTTAATGTGATGATTTATAGAATTTGTATCACGGTGCAATTAAGCTTTTGGATTTAATTACAATAGTATAGCTCTGATCAAGCTAATAAACAGAATGTGCCTAATGTGACTCTTGGGGCCCCAAGATACATTAGGTTGGCTTCCCTTGCTGTGTGCTTAGGGTAAGCTATATGGACTTGGACTTACGGGCTTAAGGATACAAGCTCTAAAGCTTATCCTTAGGTTGGCTTTCTTTTTGCTGTGTCCTTAGAGTAAGCTATATGGAAAATAGTTTTGGAAATTACTGATGGTGCACAAGAAAAGAGTTTAAACTATGATTTTCAAAAGTTAAACTCTTTTATGAATTTATGAGATTTACTGGACTATGATTTGTTTAATGTACCTATTGTGATTTTAAGGTAATATTGGGACACACTGAGCCTAGCTCACCTTTCGAAAATGTTTTTCCCCCTTTCAGATATTGTTGGTTAGATACCCCGGATTGAGCACCTGGAGGATCAACATATCTCTTGAAGTATATTTGATTGTAATGTTTTTATCATTCAGGTTGACTTTATTTTGGTGACATAGACTTATTTTAAAGTATTGGATTTTATAGTGATTACACTTTTGCTATTAATATTCGGTTTATCGTGATTTTGATTTTTAAGACATGTTTTAAATTAATTTTTTTTTACTTATTGGTATTATATTTATGAGTTGAGTTTTGATAGTATAATATCATGTCATTTATAATGTGATTTTACAATGATTGAATAACGGTTTCAGAAAATGTCTTTAAGAATCATGTATGTGATCCACTAGACTTAGTCGAAACGCATAGGCCGGGTCTAGGGGGTTACATTCTGAGTCACTCTTTGTTCGACATCATCGCCATTTGGATCTTCTGATTCATCTGAACTTATTTGGAGTTAAACAGCATGCTCCCCCATCTTTTGTTGTAACTTGTCTCCAAATTCTCTCGAATCTGGCAACACCTCCTTCTCTGAGGACCACCAAGAAGATGCTTCATCAAATACCACATTTCGTGACGTGTAGCATCTTCCACTAATTGGATCACAACATTTCCACCCCTTTCTCTGGCTGTCATATCCCACAAAGATACATCTAACAGCTTTCTTGTCAAATTTGCTCCGTAAATGATCAGGAACAAACACATAACATACACAGCCAAATACTCGAAAGTAGCTAACTGTAGGTTTTATGTTCCATAGTTTCTCAAAGGGTGAAACAAATCCTAACCTTGGTTGAGGAAGTCTATTGATCACAAAGGCTGCAGTCCTCATTGCTTCGGCCCAAAACCTTCCAGGTACATTCTTTGCATTTAGCATACTTCGACAAATTTCTGCAAGATGCCGGTTTTTTCTTTCCGCTACACCATTCTGTTGTGGCATGTTGGCACAAGTGTATTGATGACGTATTCGGCATTCCCTTAGGTATTGAGAGAACTCGTTTGATCTATATTCTCCTCCGTTGTCTGTACGCAAGCAACATATCTTCTTTCCCACTTCTCCTTCAGCTGAGTCTCCGAACTCTTTAAACTTTGAGAAAGTATCAGATTTTTCTTTCATAAAGAAAACCCACACATACCTGGAGAAGTCATCAATGAATGTTACCATGTACCGCATACCGCTAATTGATTGTTGCTTAACCGGTCCGAACACATCAAAGTGAACCAACTCCAACGGTTCTTTTGCTTTAAAATTCGACTCGTCATATGGTAATTGGTGTGCTTTACCATACTGGCATCCCGCACAGACCGTGTCTGTTCTCACATCTAGTTGAGGAAGCCCCTTAAGCATCGACTTTTTCACCATCACACTTAGCTTGAAATAGCTAACGTGACCTAACCGCATATGCCATAGATTTGATGTCTCATTTTTCCTTATCCTGTCTACATATGCAGACTCTGATGACATCACGTAAATTGATTCCAAACGTCGTCCCTCCATTGTTGGTGTTTCTGAGATTTTAACGTCACGATAAACCTTCACGTCTTGGGGACCAAATAAGACATAATGGCCTGATGATGTTAGTTGAGCCACAAATAGCAAATTTTTTTTCATTCCTGTGACATGGTAAACATCTTGGAGTTGCACCTGGTTAGTATTATATCGAGTTGTAACTATTGTCTTACCGATGTGAGTTATCGGTAGCCTTGAGTTGTCAGCTGTCACCACCACACGACCTCCATTGTACTCAGACAGGTTTTGCAACTTCTGTTTGTCACCCGTCATATGATTTGAGCAGCCAGAATCTACGATCCAATTATTCTTATAGTCAATCCGTTCTGGTATTGTTACCGTGAGAGCTAATTCTTCTTCCTCCATAGCAAATAATGCTTCAGCATCCCAACCATCTTCACTATTCTCATTCGAACAAGAAGTAGCAGTATTACTTTCAACAGGCTTTTTCTTGGTCCAACAGTCTTTTGCCATGTGACCCATCTTCCCGCAGTTATAACACTTGCCATCGAACTTTCTACTATTACCGCGATTCTTGGATGCTCCCCCTGAATGAGGGCCTCCCTTTCCTTGGTAATTTTTCATCTTGTCACTATCATTTTTAGATCCACTACCAGTATACTGCTGAAAAGTGCCTCTGCTTTTGCTGGTGTAGAGAGCTTCTTCTTCACCCTTCAGCGAGACTCCTCCCATTTGCTTGGCCATGGCTTCTTGACCTGCAAGCAAATTTTCGAACTCAACAAGCGATGGATGTGTCGGCCATCCCTGTACAGCGACAACAAACCCTCGATATTCAGGTCTCAAACCATGGACAATTATTCTTTTTATCCTGGCTTCCCCAATAGCAGCTGTCGGATCTAATTCTGAAATTTCGCGACATATCGACTTCACCTTGTGAAAGTATTGGGCAACTGCCATGTCGCGTTGCGCCATTGATAGAAGTTCATTCTCGAGAAGTTGCAATTTTGTATCGTTCCTCTTCGAAAAGAGTGTAACAAAAGTGTCTCATGCTTCCTTTGGTGTTTTAGCATCCCGAATGTGCTCCAACATTTATTCTTCAATTGTGGTTTTTAAAGCAAACATTACTTTGTCTGCTTTAATTTTCCACTTTCGCAAGATTCCATTGGCATCTTCTGTCGCCGGTTGTGTAACTTCACCACCACCGACAACCTCCCAAAGGTCTTGACCTTGTAAGTATGACTCCATACATGTTGCCCACGTGTTGTAGTTTTTGTTGTTGAGCTTTTTGATTCCTCCAACTACTTGAAGATCACCTATCTTAACGGCAAGACTTTGACTACACCGAACAAGCTTGAGTAACAAACGTGCAGAGTACTAAATTACTCTAAACACAAAGAAGCTCCACAAGGTTTGTAATAACCCCGACAATAACTCAAGAAATATTTTCTGATGTGGAAGATCAGTTAAAAACTGTAGCCACTGAGCATACTCAGAATTTCAAGAGACCTTAAAAACGTGGCTCGGATACCAATTGTTGAATCAAAATAGAGTAAAAACTCTAATTGATCGAGAAGAAGAAAAAAACTCTTTAGAATAATCTCACAAAATTGCAAAATGGAAGAACTCTTAAGAAAGCTTTCAAATGCTTATAATTAAGCTTTGATTGTTGGATGATAAAACTCAAATAAAAGTAGGGTATTTATAGGTTACAAGAAACAATCTAAACCACTCATTAAAATAAGCACTAAATAATCTAAACCATTGAAATTAAAACATGAGAAAAATACTTAATTTTCACCTAACTAAATTGATGTAAGCAATGACATCAAAATTAAATTGATGTAAACAATGACATCAAATTAATTTAGGTGTGAACTTATTTAGGCTAATATTGAATTTTCAACAGGCTTCGTGGAAGCTAGTTGTTAAAAATATTAAATACCATTGTGCATGCATTCATCCTGACCTAAAGGGTAAATTAGCATGAATAATCAATTTTTTAACTGTTTTACAGGATTTCATTTCAGTAGCTAACTGATCAGTTTCAGGCCAAGAATAGTACCATGATTTATGATTAAAAAAATAAATAAAGTTAAGAAAATGCTAGAAATACTAAAACACAGTTAAAAATGCATGATATCTGACATCCAATATAAAAAACAAAAGCACTAGAGTTCAGTTCATGCCTTATTAGTACAATGTATAGCTTTTTTCCTTTCTGCTCCATTTCATCAACGGAACTTATTCTAGGCAGTCTGGTTTTGTTGTTCTCTCCATGAGCAGATACATCGCTAACTATATCTCCTTTCCCCCCTTCTGATAAGTCTTCAGACATATCAGCAGTGGCTTCTCTGCGGCCTCTTTCACGTTCAAGACGGCGTTTGGCCTTTCTCTGGGCCAACTGTCCCTCAAGCTGCAGAAGAATGAAATATCAAAAAGCATAGGACTTAATCACAGAGCCCAGTTTTTTTAAGTATACTAAGATAGAGAATCCAAATTTTCGAGTTTTACCAATTACTGCTAACCATGCCAACCCATAACCTCACAAGGCGGGGGGGGGGGGGGAGTGTACATTGAACTAAAATCAAAATAACTCCACAACTTATGTCAGCGACTTAATTTTGAAGAGAAAAAAATTAGACAGAATATCCGCATTGCACGTGAAGAACGCAGAAAAGTTATTTCATGGATTAAGCCCAGGGGTGTGTGTGTGTGTTTTAATTTAAACCTGATACCGACTTCTCTGAACAACCAAAAGAATAATTAGCATTCTATTTCCTTCAAAAAGCATGTTAAGTTGAGGGCCATTTGCGTTTAGCAATGAAGCACGAAGGATCAAACTTAGGTAACAAAATACCAGCTTACTCTTCTAGTCCAATAAGGATATTAACTCCATTATAATTGTGTTATTTCATATCCAATCACAGCAAAAGCAAAAATAAATGATAGAAACAAATACCAGAAATTGATTAAAAGTCAACAACTAACCAAACACAAGCAAAAGCAACGTTTTTATTCTTTGATTATGCAAAAATAATGATTTGTTCAAGTAAGCGTACTTCGTCTCACCTTTGCTTGTCGAAGCAAAAAGCAAACAACCAAATGATACAAACAGAATCTTTTGTTTGGACAAGGTTATTAGCTGAGTAGCATTTGTTAGAGAAATTGAAAATCACATATAAGCCCATTCAATAATCCAAACAAGGCATCAAACCCTCCACAAATCAACCAGGCTAATCATTTTCATCTCACATTTCAGCTCTTCACATACTTTATAAGTTAAACCAATTCAATCAAATCATTTTATGAAGAAAAAAAAACTTAACAATATTAGGCTTCACTTCCATTCCAATCACAATCCATCATCGCTTCACATTTGAACATCTTAAATCATAATCCAACTAGTGAGAAACAAAAGACAGCTAAAAAGAAAAAGAATAAACAAACAACCTGCTTCTTTTGACAAGCCAAATTCCAAATCCGCCAACACATATTCTCCAGTCTAGTGTTTCTCTCTTGGGGTCTCCTCGTTGCTTGAGCCTATACCAATAAAAAAAGTTAAAAATGGAAAAGAAAACAATCCACCAAGAAAACACAAATCAAAGAAACAACAGTAGAGTACCTTAACCCAAGAACGATGGAGATCAGTCTCATCGAATCCAGTGATGACCTCCTCCACGAAATAGCGGGTGGGGATAAACCTGCCTCTTTCCCGGAGCAACAGCGACGCTTTAGCGTCGTCTAAGTTTGGACCCACATCAAAAATCGCCTCCAAGTAACTGTTAATCCAATCGTTACCTGCCATTTCTGTCCAAGGGGAGAAACAAAGGTGATGGATTGAATGATGAGAGAAGAGAGATGTAGAAAAAGAAAAGGAAAAAAATAATGGGTTTCTTGGTTACTGGAATTGGTGACGATTGTTAGTTAATGGAATTAGTTTAGTTGTTGCCAAAAAAAATGTACTAGTAATGGCAGATTGGCAGTATAGTCTCGAGAGTGAATCTAGGAGCAACCATGATTTACGGTTCAATAAATAATAAAAGACATTATAATAAAGAATTTATATAAAGATCAATATTTTTAATTATTTTATTTAAATACTATATAAATAAAAATATTAATATAAAAATATTAAATATTGTTTTGAATAATAAAATTTTAACTGTTTTGAACAAAGTTGATATTTTTATTTTATTGATATTCGATTAAATCAAGATTTTAAGAAATATAAAAGATGAAAAATATGTATTATCGATATTGTATATAAAGACTTACAAGAGAAAGACGTTTTAGAACAACATTTCAAAATTTGACCATTAAAAAATTAAAAAAAATTAACGTTAAGTTTTGAAAAAGCTTAAAAGTTTATGTATTAAACGGATAAAAGTTGATAGCTAAGTATTAACCGCGTTAAGTTTTTAATGATTTGTACTAAAATGAAATAAAAAATAAATTTTAAATATAATTTTGAAAAAATTAAAAATTTATATACTAAAACTGATAGTTTAGATATTAAATACATAGTTTACCTAAAATACAAAAGTAAATAAACTAGTACATTTCAAAAAGAAAGAATAATTTACCAAATAGCTTAATTAATCAAATAAATATTATATAAAATATTTTTTATCATTCTATTAACGACTTTGATCTTTTTTTTATACTCAATTTAAAATGTATATATTTACTCGAGCTAAGAATTCTGATTTTTATATTTTCAAGAATTTCTCTGAAATTCTTTCCCTTTCGGTCTCGCTAGGATTATCTCTTTGCGCCGCCCACTGTTACACCGATGAGGAGAAGGATCTCTTTAACCATCATGGTCGCCCAGTCGGTGATCTGATGCAGGGTATTCTCAACGTTTACGGTTAATTTATATTCTACGGTACGGTGATTTTTTAATTTTTCTTTGGGTTTCATGTTTTCTTTTTCTTTTACTGATTGATGATTATCGATTTACTTTTATGGTTCCATGGTTTCATAAAATCGCTACATTCTTTTACGTGCCTTTCTCGGACTATAATCGTCGATCTTGTGATGTTCTATTGCGAGGATTTTATCATTTTCTACGGTCTTCACCTTTCTTGGCTATCTTCTACTGATATCTGAAGAATACTTAATCTCCTATGACATGTTGGTTGTTCATTGTTTGAATGTATTGTCTGTGTACACTGGTCTTCTCTTTACCGTTTGTACTTGTGTCCTGGGATTCTATTCTTACTTCGTTGGTAAGGATGATTTTCTCTTTAGCCATCTTCATCCACTTGTGGTTGTATCGATGCAAAGCAATTGTTACTGGATTTGGTTTATTAGCATTATTGGTTGTGGTAGGATCTCTCTGATTATATGCAATGATATCTTTGGGGGCAACGTAGACTTATTGCTATGTTTCTTGGATCAATTTCTTTAATCCGATTTTTGGATGTTAATATTGTTTGGAGATTATTTTACAAGGGGATGCATTTAATGAACTCTGCTCAAAACCCACATTGGAAGTATTATAACAGGAATCCATGCAGTCTTTTCCTAGACCCACGTCCTCGGTTTTCTATCAATGTGATCTCCAACAAAAGAAAACTCTCTCAATCTACTATTTTGGAAAAAAATAATAAATAATTGAATAAAATTGATGTCATTTATAATAAGTCGTGTCATTTTGTGAATAAACTTATTACACTTGATAAATAGACTTATTTTTAAAGTTGCATCAATCAACAACAAATCTATTCATGAAAAAGTCTTAACCTTTCAATCATTTATCTCCTCTATAAATGGACTAGTTAAGGCACAATTCTTATAGACATAAGTTCCAATATGTAAGTTTAGAACTTTGGAATAGGAAAACATTTAATTCCAAAATTTCATTCTTTTCGGTGATAGAGGAAGGTAAGATTGTGTTCGCTTGATCATTACGGTTGTGCTTACTGTTGTACTCGTTTGTTGTTGTATCCTAGGAGACCGACATCCAACGTTACTCAAAGCACCGAAGAGAAGACGAATATGTCCTAAGGAAATTGTTCATACAAGCCTCAACAAAACTTCCTCTTCTATTTTATCTGACTCCACTCATCCTCGATTTCATGTCAAAATACGACTAAATCGTTCAATTTCTTTATTTTATTTATTTATTTTGCTTCGTTCGATTATGTAATAATATTTGTTTATTATTATTTTATGTATTGGATTAACCATTTCTGTCTAACAAGCCTAAGACATAAAGTTTTTAATCCGAAATGAGATTCTTTAATTTTAATCATACTCGTCTACGAACGAAGTATCAAATAGTGGCAAAACAAAATATTGGAGGCTATTTGCAGGTTTGAACCAATTTGCATGTTCCACAAAGCAAATTGCATTTCATTAGGAGGAACCACGCCAACGTGAAATTTCTCAAGCAATTTGTCGCTTCAAATGCAAACGAGTTTTCTTATCGACTCCAAAAATTCACGTTGATTCTAAAGTGAAATTCGCGTATTGGAGATCGAATGTACAATGGCGTTAATTTCCAAACTTGTACGTATTTACTTGAGGAAATAAATGTTTGATAATGATGCCTTCTCGGAGTTTGATAATGCAAAGGAAGGAGATTGCTTCAATTGTTACGAGTTGTAGAAATTCTGGATTTACAATTCATTAGAAATTGAAAGGAAACTCAACTCATTTGAAATTGTTCCCTTCAATCTTTGAGTATATCACTGGAACGTATACGAGGAACCCAAATTTACAAATTGCATGGTATGAAATCTAAGGTTCATGGTGAAATATTTTACAAGTTCCAAAACAAGCCTGGTGATTCGGTCATTGCAAGAATTTTTTTTTTTATCAATGGTAAACTGATGAATTTCTATCAAGAAATTAAGGAGGTACGTGAAATCTTTAACAATTTCTTTTATAATATTTATATATTGATTATAATTTTTATTTCGGGTTCTTATTAAATTCCCTTCGTTCAGTATAAGTTGATTCTATTTCGGATTTTATTAAAATCTTGAAGTTTAACAAATTCATCCTTGTTTTGGGTCTTTAGTTTTACTAAATTCTCGCCACTTAACAAAAATTACTCAATTATTGGGTTTTAATTTTTGACTAAAACTTGTGATAAATAAAGTATTGAAATGAAGTTGTGATCTGTTTGTAAACAGAAACTGTACCAATAATTTTATTGGATTTTAATCCTGTCCAACGTTTAATTTGATTTACTGTTTATAATAGAAATCATTTGGAAGTAACAATAATGTTACATATTTTTATTTTAATTCTGTTGTTTAATAGAATCGAAAGAGAAAATAAATTGAATTAGTTGTCAATTTATTGTTAAAATTATTATGAGTTTTAGTTTCATGTTTTAAACGTAATAGTGGATAAATCCACCGATTCACTTAAATTGTGATATGGAATATTGATTCCTACTCTAGCATCGAATAAAGTTTAACAATATCAGTGAACGTGATTCACAATGAAAAGAATGTTAAATTCTATGAATAAAATTTCAAAACATGACAACAATGGATGTTACATTTGACCATATTGAATATGATCACATATGTGCATGATGATCCTCATATTATTATAGAGGATATAGTAAATGTTATTATTGCATTTAATGTTGTTAAAGCATGAAATCATTTTTGGATTATTAGATACATTACATGAAGTGTATAATATCCGATTAAAGAATTTTGAATGGTATTGGGCCATGAATACGAAGCAAGAGAATTATCTTAAATAAAATTATTAATGTCATAATCCTTGGTAGGTTGCTCCAACATTTTTCAACCTGAATGACATTACTTTATAACAGAAAGTATCTCTTATGGTCACAAATGTTGTTTTTTCTATGTCTTCGGGACTTATTTTTATTTGGTTATACCCTGAGAAGCCGTCTATGGAATAAAACCATGAATGTCCTGTAGTGTTATCCACCAGAGTGTCTATATGAGGCAGAGGGAAATTATCTTTAGGGCTAGTTTTGTTGAGGTCTCGATAATCCACACATGTGAACCTTCTCATCCTTCTTCGGCACATGGACTATATTAGCCACCCAAAGATAATAAATTATCCCATTAATATATGAAAAGATCCCATTAACAAATGGAAATGATCTGTATAGTACTAATCTGAATCACATTTAATCCAATAGCATAGATAATACTGGAAAAAAATAGGATCACTGATACAAAAAGTGAAGATTAGATGCAACAGAAAGTTCAACATTCAATAGTTATAGCAAACAATGACATCCATGCCCACATCCCTAACATTTCTTACGCTCGAACGTGAAATTTTGAGAAATAACAATTCCTTTACCACTCATATTTTTAATATTTTTTAAAAGTAAAAATTTTAACCAAAATATGAGAGTAATAAATGTCTCAGTTAACAATCAAATTTAACGGCCGTTATGATCCAGACACCTAAAAATATAACGGAGAAAATGTCGGACACATATTTTTAGCGAAAAAATCATTAGACACAAAAAATCAATTTTGTGTATAGTTTAAGTACTTTTTATTTTATTTTAAGCCTTGATTTTAAGGGGTAATGATTAAGCTATAAATGAGTCGAGTCGAGCTCGAGTATTGCTGAGCTTGACTCAACTCGAAAACTTACGAGCTTAAAATTGGCAAACTTGAATCGAACTCGAAATAAAGAATTGAAACTCAACTTGAATTTTAAAAAAATTGAACTTAAAACATTCTCAGACTTAACTCAATTGAAGCTCGAACTTAAACCTTAAGTACATAAAAATCTTATATTATATTTTAAAAAAAACAACATATAAATATTATTACTATTATTTTTAATTTAATTTAATTTTAAAAATAAAAAATATAATAATTTTTTTTGAATTATTCTTAAATTTATCAAGTCGTACATCAAGTAACTCGTTTCGACTCATTATAAACTCAAATCAAATATATTCAACGAATGTTGA